CTTTTTTAAGGCTGTTAGTCTACAGTACACAAATGCCAACACAAAGTGTGCTCTGCCACCAGAATTCTAGTTTTTCCACCTTCTTATACCGGTAGGCCAGCAGACACAGGGTTACTTCTCAGTTGAGGGCCCCTGACACCTCAGGCACCTCCAGCGCCCCCGCCCCCCCGTCCCCATCCCACACTGGCCAGCTCCCCACCCCGGAGCAGCAAGACCGCTCCTAGAGGGAAGGAGAGCCCATTAGGGCTGTGCCAGTAGAGGACACAGCAACTGGGAGTTGTCCCAGGGGTGGTGCTCCCACTCCTGCAGCCCCTGTGTCCAGCTGGTCCCTCCTGAGCACCTGGACTGGGCTGGCCCAAGCCTGAGGCCTGGAGACATGGCAGCAGGTGTGTCTAGATCCCAGGAGCCCCAGGGCAGGCAGAGGTGATGGGTCTGGCAACTACCTCCCTCTCCCAGGCTGGAAGGCACCACGGAGTGCTGACAGAGCCCAGAGTGAGGAATGGTGTTGAAGGAGCAAGGCCCATCCATCCAAGCTCCCCCAGGGAATGGGCTGGAGGGTGCCCGAGGGCATGCAAGGCTCAGGACTGACTCCTGCTGTAACCGAAAAACACAGGCTCTGCTGCCTGGGGGCAACAAAAACTCATGAGGCAGGTGCTGGTGCAAAAGGAAAGAGGTTTTATTCAGGTATGTGGCCTGAAAGAATGGTGGACTCCCGTCTCAAAGACAATCCCCCTTCTTGCTCAAGCCCACAGTTCTTACAAGGATAGCGAGGGGAGGACTTTTTTCTGTCCATTTATCTTGCTAGCTTTTTGGCACGCTTGGGCCAAATTCATTTATCTTTCTAGCTTTTGGCAGCACTTAGGCACTGTCCATTCACGTTTTGGCCCGCTCGGTGTAAGAACCACCTTTGTGCCTTCTCGGCCGATAGGGGAGACTCCCCAGGGCTTCTTGACTGTCTGTGGCATTGGGGGTGGGGGCGCAGGCCCCGCCCTCAGAAAGTCCAGAGATTCTGCTGAACACAGCACCGCACATCCAGGGCAAGCCGGTTGGAATCCCTGGGGCACCCCTGGATCCTGTGGGCCCACGTCATCTGAGCAACCCCTGTTCGGCCTACCCCTCTGAAGTGGCCAGCCAGGCCTGTGCTCGGACTGACAGCTGCCTAAGGTAACACTGCTGGTAATACCCCCAGGGCTGGGTCCTGCCCAGGCTCTGCAGACCGGGGCCACATGTGGAGCCCAGAGAGGAGGACAGCCAGGACTGGCCCAGAGGCACCTGACTCACTCCCAGAACTCAATGAAAAAGGACTGGCAGCCGGCAAGTTGGTCACACATGAGGTTAGCGGGGCTGGCACCAGCACAGGCTTTGAGGCTCACCCGCACCGCAAGCTTGGGGCAGGGCAAGGCAGGCGTGGCGAGAAACAGTCTCATGCCCAGAAGCCTCGTAAGAGGGGTTTCTGGGAAATGGCGCAGGATCTGTTTGCGCAGGCGCCCTGGGGAGTCCCAATGATGTCTCTCTCACTAAGGGGCGGAGCTTCGTGAGGGAGCCTCCACCCTGCAGCGGTTAAGCGGGCTCTCAGAAGTCGCAAGGAAAGGCTGAGGAACCATGCAGGCTGAAGAGCGAGGAGCAGGCGGTGTGGCCGAAGATGCGGAAGGCCGGGGCAGTCCTGGTGACCCTGGCAGCTCGGATGGCTCTGGAGGCCTGGAGGACCCCGGTACAGGCGGCTCGGGAGAGGCGGGCGCCGAAGCCAGCGGAGGGCCGCAGGTTGCAAGGGCACTCGACGCTCCCGGGCCAGGCGGAGACGCCTTGCCGGGGCCCTGTAGGCATGCTGGGTGCACAGCCAGAAGGCCGGGAAGACATCGGCTCCGGTAGTATCCTATTTGAGGAGTGCCCGGGCGAGGCAATGGAACCGGGGAGGAGGGGGTCCGCCTGAGGGTACTGTGTGAAGAGGGGGGGGGGCCCGGGTCCTGAGGGGATGGGCCAGGGGTCGCTAGTTGGTGATGGTGGAGGGAGACGGCCTGAGGAACCTGGAAGGAGGGAACAGCCGTGAGGGGTTAACAAGGGTGAGAGTGGCCTGAGGGGACACAGTCTGTATTGGATGGTGCCTTAACTGAATCTCCACTAGCTCCTTCCTGGTGCCTTTCCCATCACCTGCGCAGGCAGTGAGGGCCTTCTGGGGTCTGGCCCGCCATTCCCAACCCCTCCCAAGGGCGGTTCGGAAGAAGCTCATAGTATCTGGCAATCTTCTAACTATGTAAGTTCTAAAAAGGGCCAAGTGGGGACTGGTGGCAGGTGGCTAGGGTGGTTCCCTGGAGGGTCATTCTAATAGTGAATTGGAGACACCCAAAAAAGTCAGGTCTGAGGAGGTAACTGAGGTGTCCTGGGTTTGCCACCACCAGAGGGGGCAGAGAGAGCTAGGTGTAGAGTTATCACATATAACTTGATTTTCTTTTCCCCTTATTTAGCCGACTGACTGCTGAAGACCCTGACCAAATGCGAGTTTGTCTCTCCTCCTGTCTCCGTGAACTTGGCCTATTGATTCTGACCATGCAGCACATTTCACGCCCATTTTTAAAAAGGGGCTAAGACGAACCTAGTGGCCCTCCCTAGGCAGTGCATCTTTCCCCTGGGCATTGATTCCTACAGGAGTTGCCCCTTTATTATCGGGGCCTAATTGCTCGTATTGGCCCTCTGATACTCTCAACTCTGTTGTCTCCCTGCTGCTGGAAGAGGGGCTTCTAAGTTGTGTGTTACAGCAGAAAATAAAAGTGAACTCCTACTCTTGTCTGAGTTTGCTTTCAGTTACTGCGCCTCCGTATTCTCTTGCCTTTGTCCCCGGTTTGGAGGGGAGGTGTGGGATTCAGTTACTCTAGTCAATTGAAGACAATTCAGGAAATGGAGGAAAATGAAAATGAATTGTGTCATGCCGTTCAGCACTAGCAGCTGCCGTTATTTTGGAATATTTTCCTACTTTCATAGCTGCATTTATATATTAATGCACAAAAATACCATACAATATATATTTTTTGCAAGACCAGGGTTAAATCATTTTCTGAACTATTTTCATTTAACATACGAGCTTTTCCGCTAAGAAAAAGTTTAAATACATGTCATTGGGTGCATGAAAGAAGTACAGTAATGTAATTGTTGAACAGTTAAGGTTTCCATATTTCCCTCCTATTATGAACAATGATTCAGTGCAATTCTTCTTCTATATGATTTTGCGTGAATGGTTATTTCCTCAAGGTAGAATTGCTGTGTTAAAAATGTATGTTTCTATTTCTTTTTTACGGCTGTTAGTCTACAGTACACAATTGCTATCCACAAAGTGTGCCCGCCCGCCAGAATTCTAGTTTGCCCACGTTTATCTTTTACCAGCAGTTCTGATTCCTGCCAAAATTAAAACACACACACACAAAACAACACACAAAAACTTAGTTTGCATGAGAAGATAAAACCCAGGAGTACTAGAATTAGAATTTTGTCTCTTACTAACGTTTCTGATCTGTGAAGAAGAGTGTTGAGAGGATTAGTTAAGGATCAGATTTTTAACAGTTTTTAAAATTTTATGAAGGTATTTTTCCTGTATGAGAAAAACGGGAAAGAATCTACTTTTCAGCTCTGACAAAGCACTCAAGATAATAACAATCAAGCAGGATTGCTAAGAGAAAGGTAGATAGCCTAAACAAAAACAAGTTCTCTGTGTATAACACCAATGAATCAAATCTCTGTGCGTAGCTAGCTCGGTGTCATTAGATGTGACCAGGGCTGGCTTCCTGCATGTGCAACCCTTGCATGGGGCCCTGGTATCAGAAGCCCCCCTCCCCCCCCTGTGCTTGGTGCAATGCTCTGCTGTTGCAGCCTGAAATTCTTAATCATTTTATATTTGAGCTTTTGTTCTATAAGTGAAGTTTGATGGGAAAATGGAGCACGCATGAGCAAAGGAGATGGCGCTGGTGTCAGCTCACAGATGTGCGGGCCCAGGCCCACAGGCACGGAGGCAGTGGGCAGCATGACTGCCAATCGTGGGGCGGGGGTGGCAGAGTGGGGCCTGGGCCCAGATTGGCGGTGGCAGTGGTGGCTGGGATATAAATGATATGAAACCCCTGACCCCTTGACCATCCATTTCTATTTACCTGTGAGCAGTTCCCCCAAGTTGTCCCAGAGTCAGCAGAACAGATACATGTCCCCCTTTTTGTTCCACATCTCGCTATGCTGTGACTTCTGTGTCCACCCCTCTACTGAAACTGAGGAGAGACAAGTGACATGTGAGGGCAAGAGAGGAAATGAGGACGATGCGGAGGTTCTGGCTGAGTGGTCCCTGCTTGTGCTGGTACCAGTGGGAGGTAATGAATCCAGAAAGAGGACTGGGCCTGGGAAGGGGGAAGACTGTTGTGTAATAGCTGCTGAAATGACCATGGAGGAGAAGCCGGCCGACGCACGGCAGAGAATAAAGGGAGAGAGGGGAGAACCAGGACGATGATCCAAATGAGGAGAGGGGAGAAAGGCTGGACCCCTGGAAGAAGAACATTCGTTTCTGCTGAGAGGGAGGTGAGTGTGGGGATGCGACCCCAGGTAGAGGGGTGAGGAAGTACAGTGCAGTGTGAGGAGGGGCAGAGCCGCACGTTCCCCAGCCCGAACCTCTCCTAGAGAGAAGCAGACCATGGGATCTGAGAAGGACTTCAATTTATTTATCTTTATTTTTATTGATTGATTGATTTCAAAGAGAGAGGATGGAAGAGATAGGGGGAGGGGGGAAGGCAGGGAGAGAGNGTTTATAAACTCAATAGGCATATCCTCGGGTGAGGATTAAAAATAAAAAGATAAAAAAATAAAAGTGGCACAAATAGGGGACAAAAGCTGTGCTACCTCCGGAAAGAGGGAAGCCTTGGTAAGGCACAATAGGCTCATCTGATGAGAAGCGGGCAAGGAGAACAGGGGAACCTGTGTTGCTGTAGGCCTTGGATTCAACAGGTACAGCTGCTTCTGTATGTGTGTGTTGTGGGGGGGAAGTCAACCTGAAAAAGACAGCAGAGTCAAGGAGGAGCCTCCAGCCAGGGTCAGCACCCAATCTTCCCAGACTGAGATTGAGACTGTGGGAAGGGGGATGGGCCACTCACATCAAAGGCTCTGGAACTTGTCGATGAGGCACTGCATGAGCACTGAAACAAAGAAAAGGATAACTAGACACTGCAGGCACAGGGATATAGAACCTCCACCCCTCATCCCCATGGGNAGCACAGGAATATAGAACCTCCACCCCTCATCCCCATGGGACAAGCCTAACCCTGCAACCTGAGCCCCCTATCTGAGCTTGGCAGTATTCAGCCCTGGGACTGACCCACCCACCTGTCACTCGAGTAAAAGGTAGACATGAAGACATGTACACTCCCTGCCAAGCAGCAGTTAAAGAGAAAATAAATGTGGTATCTCCAAAGGAACTAAGAACAGCTCTAGCACTTGTTGGCAAAGGGTGACTCAAATAATATATTTCTCCGTGGAGACATGTGATAGAAAGATGAGAGTGAGGTGTGTGTGTGTGTGTGTGTGTATGTGTGTGTGTNTTCTCCGTGGAGACATGTGATAGAAAGATGAGAGTGAGGGGTGTGTGTGTGTGTGTGTGTACGTGTGTGTGTGTCAGAGAGAGCGAAAGAGAGATACAGGGAGAGAGAGAGAAAGAGAGAGAGAG